AGGGTTGACCTAGATGACCCACAGAGGTCCCTTCCAACCCCTATCATTCTGTGATTCTGTGATCCCCAGCTGACTGAGGGAAGGGAACCAAGACTACAAGTAACTTTAAGTCTGAATTTTCTACTGAAATCTGTTATCTCTGTCTGCCTCTGGATTTTGAGCGCTTCTTGGAGACTGGCATGGTCTGGAGCACAGATGCTGTTCTCAAGCCAAAGGACCGCTACAGTTTTTAATTAACCCAGAGATGCATGAGCTGTGGTAGGCGAGACAGAATTTCACTTTTCCTGCTGTTGCAGCATTTCCTTTTGGGCCCACACAAAGACCGGACTACACATGACTCATGAAACCTATGTTACTTCACATTCTGGCTCTGTCCCCTGTAAATAAGTGGGAAGGAGGATGAGAACGTTGCCCCATATAACAGAGTAGTCTGGAGAATAAAAGTTCCTGAAGATGAGTGCTTGGATAACAAGATATTTAATTGCTGTGATAAACCTCTGGTAAAGTTCACGTGGAGCTGGGTGAAGGGAAGGGAGTGAAATTTGTGTATTAAAGACATGAGAGGAGGAGCGAGCCAGCACACACCTTCACACCCAACTCCCCTGCTGGCCAAGGGAGCTGAATTTGTTCCTTGAGCAGCTCTGCCGCAGTAGCAGGAGTGGATCTGGCCCCAGGGATGGTGGCTTACCCCTCCCTGTATAGGAGGCTAGGACGCTACTACTGATGCAGCTCGTGGTGTTTATCTGTTGCTGACGGATGTGCTGGTGCTTGCCCCGCATGCGGATCCCCTCCTTTTTCACCTCCAGCGGCTGTTCCTTCAGGTTTCAAACCACCGATGGCCCCCAGCCAAACCATCGCAGGTACCTGCTGGAGGCTGCGGCGTGGGCACCCGTTTGTCCCTCCTGCGGTTTGCGCTCAGCCCCCAGCAAAGCAGCAGCTCTCACGCCGTTCCTCGTTGCCATCCACAGGGCTGCATGTGAGCGGCTAACGCCTGACTCTTATGGTGGACGAGGCTCCACATTTCGGACGGGAGAAGCAACACTCAGCTCGCTGGTCCTGCATCCGCCCGCTTCACAGTGTGTCCCACAGGCGAGCCCAGGGCTGGGCTCCCTCGGTGGTGGGCAACTGAAGAAGCGAAGGGAAAAGGTCACTGCTG